TTTAAGCTTTATCTTTTCTCCAGTTCTTCTGAGTTCTTGGAGCAAATACACATTCTTTTAAGCTAGATACATATTTTTCTTTACAATTGAAGCACTTAAGCAGAGCATATTAACATATTTCATCTCTTTTTAAGCATATTTCACATTTATACTCACTAGTTTTATAATCTCTAGCACAGAATGTGTATTTTAAGTCTCTGAAATAAGAGATTACAAAGTATTCATATCTTTGACAGTTTGAACATTGTGTTTGAGCTTTGAGATTCATTCTTGAGTCTTTGTATTCATGAACTCTCATTTTCAAATCTGCTACTCTTACTTCAGAGATTCTTGATTGTTCAAGTATCTTTATATATACTAGAACAGAGGCATTTCTTCTACTATATCTGAACTCAATTGAATTAAGTCATACAGGCTCTTTTCTCAGTTGAATAGAATTGTATTCTTTCAATTCATTTTTGAGAAGTAGCATTTCTTTCTCACAGTCAAAGATTTCAACTGAAATATTATGAAGAATGAATTTATCTTACTTTTCATCTCTCTCAGATAGAATTGTTATGTTTAACAGAGATTCTACTGCTGACTTTCAGAGATTCTTATTTTAAATAAGGAATTCTGCACTGAATTCAGGCATGATGATCAGAATGATGAAGTTTTCAAAGAAGAATAACTCAATTGAAGCTATAACTAATTTTTGAACTTCAATATCAGTTATTAACTAAGAAAAGAACTGCTGATTAATTTCATTTCTAATTCTGAAAATAAGATTTGAGTTTTAGCTTATTTCTCTGTAAGATATTCTGATTTGAGACTTTGAGAATAAGTCTTCTATTTCTGAAGATTTGAAGATTTTTCTCTTTTTGTATTTTTTTTCTCACTCTTCTATCAATAGAAGTATGAGCAGTATTCTTCTCAGTTTTCTCAGAATTTTGAGCAGATTTTGAGACAGCAGATTTAGAGACAGCAGGTTTAGAGATAGCAGATTCAGCTGCTTGAACATATGTTTTCTTCTGATTTAAAGAAGAAGAAGAAGAAGAAGTAGAAAAGAAAGAAGAGCAAACTGAAGAGTCAGTGATTATATTAGAAATTTTCAAAGTTTTTAGAACTGTGTTTGAAATTCTAAGTTTGAACTTGATCACTTTCTGTAGTTATCTAGTCTGAGTATGAAGAATTAACAGAACTTCTTCATTCATCTCACTCAGACACTGCTTTTCAAGAATTTTACTTACTTTTTCAAGTTTCTGTATTTCAAGAACTTGTTATTTCTCTATTTCTTCTTTCTTTCTTCTCTTCAGAATTTCAATCTCAGGAATAGTATTTGAGAAAGCATTCTTTTTCACATCAACTGAGTGTACTTTTGAACTTATTATTCTTACTCAATAAAAAGTTGATCAGACTAATTCAATTGAGATATTTATTAAACTCTTTTAAATTGAAAAGTTGATCAGACTGTTTCAATTTAGAGGTTTCTAAGTCTGTTTTCAATTGAAAAGTTGATCAGACTATTTCAAAAGAAGAATAACAGACTTTTATGTATAAAATACCTGATTTTTTTCACACTAGTTCAGTAACTAGGTTAGATTTTTAAAGAGAATCTAATAAACTAAAATTAATTTTTAAGATAAATTAATAAAATCTTTATCATCTCTTTCTTAAGATATAGTGAGAAAAAGTATGATATCAATTGATAATAAATCAGATAATATGACAGTTTTTGAGAGAAAAACTGATAAAAAATAAATCAATTTTTTGCAGAGAAATTGATTAAAACTATTCAATTTTATTCTAAATTATTCAATTCTTCTCACATAATAAGTGTGCAACTCAAATCAGTTGATAAAGAGTGTAAAAAAGAATTAAGTATTAATGAAAGCTCTTCAGCTACTGAAAAAGTAATTCTTACTTAAAAGAATATAAAATTATAACAGAAAATAACTCTGTTTTTAATTCTTTATAAGAATATTATGTAAAATTCAGAGAAAAACACCTTACTTTTTTAAGAGAAGTAAAAAACTATTTCTAAGATTTTTTTTTTTTGCATTAACTACTGCAGAAGAATGAGATAGAAACTGCTAAGATATGTACTACTATATACTCTTTATCAAGACTTTCTCTCTTCAGAGTCTTAATATTATAGAGAATATAAGTCTATTTCTATATAATAATGTAAATATTGTCAGCAGGATGTAGAGAAACTGATTATTTATATCTTAAAATACCAGACTTTGTCAATGATTATATCAATATAGAGTTAATTCTCAAATTCAATAGAAACCTAGTATTGCTGTTCTCAATCTCTTACAGAATCTATTTAATATTGAGATATTAAAACTAGATTTAATATATCTCACTATGCAGGGATTAAAGGCTCAGTCAGATCTTGAGATATACTGATTTTATAGTTGTTGTGTCTGCTGATTATGTATCAAGTACAGTTGCTGAGGTATCTCTTTGTATTTTTCTGCTGAGGATGGGCCAGATCGGGAGGGGTGGTACAAGGGTGGGACTTGGTGTTGATGTCTTGGTACATCAAAGACAGAGAGGGTTTTTTGCGGAGGATGCACTTCAGATATGTCTGTTGACTATGTGCTTGATACTATTGTCAAGGTATCTTTTTGTATTTTTCTGCCGGAGGTGGGCCAGATTGGGAAGGGCGGTATGTGGGTGAGACTTGGCATTGATGTTTTGGAACATCAAAGATAGACAGGGTTTTCATGGAAGATGCTTCTCAGATATCTCCACAATTACAGGTCGGGGATCTTCCAAAATCGAGAAGATTGGTGCATATGGTTAGGTCTCTTCACCTTACAATTTGTATGGCAATTTGGCCCAGGGTTGTGGTGTGGTAGGGGTGAACGGGGGATAATCCCACACAGGAGTTTCGAACAACGTCTGGTTCACATTTGGCTGGATAACTCCACCACCACACGGGGTATGCGGTCGGCGATGGGGTCAAAATGCTCGTATGATCGAGGGCTTTTCAATGGATCTATCGGCGGGTTCTTATTCGAAAAATTGAGCGAGTTCGTGGTGGAGCGCTTGTCTTTCTTATATACAGTTATCACATTGTATAAGATAAAGCTTCAGAGTGAAAGAATAGAAATTTCAGAATGTATAAGATAGAGCTTCAGAGTGAAAGAATAGAAATGTTATAAGTTCTTCAGCTAAGAATTAGTAACTGAGAATCAGAGCTTTTAACAGAAATCTATAAAGTATAATGAAATAATCTATTAATTAAGTACAGTCTGTCATATATTACTTCTTTTTAAATAATTTTATTTATTCTGTAAATATTTAAATCAGTTTTCAATCACTCTATAACATTACTTAGATATAATATAGAAAGATTTAATTAATAAATATAAAAATCTTACTTTTATATAAAATCAGTAAATTCTTTCTTATATATTAGTAAGATATTACTGTAGTACTACTTCAGCTATTCTTACTTATAGAATAAAGAGAGAGTGACTACTTATTATTTATACAAAATAATTAAATACTAACTTTTTATTAAAGAAATCAGTGATTTGTTTTTTCTCTTCTAATAATATATATAAGAGTTACTACTATTCTTATATAATTTTTTTAACATACTAAGTATCTATGATGTTCTCACAATAACTGTAGCTTATGAGCTTGCTATTTAAGCATAATAGTCAAGCTTACTGTATGACACTGTTATTTAGCTACTACTTCAATTTCACTATATTACAGAGATGTATAAATTACTACAATAAATTACTTTATGTTTCTGAGCTGAGAAGTTATTATCATATGTATCAAATTGTCACTCATTTGTATTTCCTATGTTCTTATTATCTTAGCATAGTCTTAACACCTGTATTTCCTTCTGTATAATCAATACTTAGCCTGTATTTAATATCATGCAAGAACTTATTATAAGCTCTGCTTGCATATAAGTATAATAGAAGAATAATAGTAATAATAACAGAGAATAGACAATTTTCACTCTTTTATAGTAACTTTGATAATTGTAATATTATACTATAATATGACTAGTTAGCTATCAGTTCAAACCCAGCTCAGCATCAGCACAGAACTACTTAGTCTGAGAGGGGGTGTGAGAGCTCTAGGCTTCCTAGTACGGACTAGCGCCCCTCACCAACCATATAGCGCACTCTAGATAGCAACCAATACAAACCACTCACTCAGACCTCCAACACATACAAACAGATGATCTAATCTGATCCGCTGATTGATTACGGTAGTTAAGGTTTGCGGCTGATTCCTGAATCGGGCCAGACCCTGTGTTAAATACGGCAGTATCTAATTCGTATTATAGAAGCTGCCAGGACCTGCGCTGTACCCTGAACTTCAATGACTGATAAAGGGTGATATCATTTTGCCATTATCACTGACTGATGGATGTTAATTAAAATAGGGACATAATTTTCTTTGTATTGCGCTTCATTAGTTAAGCACGAACTCTCTTGGTAAGTATTTAATGAAGTTACGGCAGTGGTTACGTAAATTATCCCTTGGTAATAATACGGGCGTGTTCTCCGTATTTTCCGGGTCAACCCACTTTTCCGCTCTGCTGCCGATGTCGTTTTCGCCCCATCCCAATTCCCTTCCCTATCCTCCTCCTATCCTTCTCCCGCTACCCCTCTTCACAGAAAGCAATGTCTCCCTTCAGTCCTTATTTGCAACTAGAGCTATCCCTTTATTTTCGCCTCTCCTCTCGATGAGACGCCTCAATTTCCTTTTTGATACGTCAGCGGCATATATTCTCTGCTCCGAAATACGATTGGGTATATACCTGATTTGGACGACACGTTTTTAATCTAGACGCGTGTTGCTAAGCAGGCGGTATTTTTCGTCTTGTCTCTCCTGCTTCGGAATATCTAAATATATCCGTGTACAGGTACGCTACCCATTGATATCTCTGGAGGTTTATTGGCCCCTCCTTGAGACAAAACTAACATCAAATTGAGGAAATAGTTGCAATTGCAACTTCGTTTCTTTCAATAGCTAGGATGGCGTCATCTCTGGTTCAGCAAGTGGAAACAGTCCCCGTTTCCAGCACATCTCACCCAGGCAATCCAATCCCGGAAGAACCTACAACACTACCACACCTCAAAATAATTCATCCACTGCCAGTTGGCTCACTGGATACCCATTCATCCTCTGTATCTATTGGAACAGCAGAGCCATTTAGTGGCACGGACACCCCCTCAACCCCGGGAACCGAACAATCAACAGATGATGTCACGGAGGGGATCTTAGACCTTACTATCGGTTCAAAATCACCTCCATTGACTTCTAAACGTCGGAGACGGGCGTCTACTGTATTGATATCACAGAGCTCCGAGGATGTCGAGAAAATCCTAGGCAGTGGTAAGGGCGGTACACATGTTCTTGAAAAGATTTGCTGTGGTGGAGGATGCTGCAAGCTTCAGCCTCTCCAAGAGCCTGCGTCGTCGTCCTCGATTCACCCTGTCATAAAACCAAAGAATAAGGCATTCGAAAGCTTGAAACTACAACTAGGCCAGTTATCGCATGACAGTATTCTGACGAATATTACCCCCTTGCCCGTGAAGACCGTGTCGTTTTCTCCCGTTCCAAAGGACTTGGCCGATAAAGAATCAGGCCCAGCAGATCACCCACCTACATTCGTCCAACCGCATCCCCCTTACGAGGTCTTCCGTGCACCCCTTCATCATGCTCGAGAGTTGACCAAGCCCGGCGCCGAAAAGCGTACTTATCATTTCGATATCGATGTTACAGACTACCCTGCTGAGGGTGGTGATGTCGACTTCGTGGTTGGAGGTGCAATTGGCATCTGCCCCCAAAATTCAGATGCGGTGGTAGATGAAATTTTCAACCTCCTTAGCATTCCGAAAACGGTCCGAGATAGGAAGGTGATGGTCAACACCACCAACGGTCGATGGCCTACTGTTTGGGGGGATGAAAAGGCCCGAAGCCTGTTAACCACCAGACGTGAATTGCTTTCGTGGTGCTCTGACCTCCAGAGCTACCCTCCTACAAAACAAATTTTCCGACTCCTAGCAGAGTACGCCACGGATCGGGATGAGAAGAAGATATTGATGTTCCTTTCATCGGCACAAGGCCAGGGGGCGTTCTGCGACCTTCGAACTGGCCAACATACCACAGTACCTCAACTCCTATCTGCATTCCCCTCCGCGCAGCCTCCTCTGGATTACCTACTCTCCATCCTCAATACTCTTATGCCACGATTCTATTCCCTTTCCCAAGATCCGCTCGTCTCATGCAACATTCGCGACGGCAACGGAAAATGCAAGCGACTGATCGAGATCGCCGTCACTGTCCACGAAGCCCCTGATTGGCGCGGTGGGAAAAGAACTGGTGTGGGCTCTGGTTTCCTGGAGCGGAAAGCAAAACAGCTTCTTCACGCTGAGCAATTGGGTGACGACATCTCGTCCCTAAACTTGCACATCCCAATGTTCCGTGCCTGATGTCCAACCCTCTCGCGCGTGAATTTGTTTCAGATGGACCTATGCTTCTCATTGGCGCTGGAGTCGGTGTTGCCCCTTTCCGTGGATTCGTCCAGCGACGTTTGAAGTCTGCGAACTGTGCCAACAAGGTGTGGGTTCTTCAAGGGATCCGTGACTCATTGCTCGATGAACTCTACTCCGGTGAATGGGGTGTGCATGAAGAAACAGTGAAGAAGGTCGTCCAGAGCCGGAGCGGTGAGGGCAGATATGTGCAGGAAGAGGTGCGCAACCAAGCTGATCTTGTATGGTTCGTCATCAATTCGCTTGATGGACGCGTTTTCGTCTGCGGGAGCAGTAAGGGTATGGGCGAAGGCGTTGAGGCTGCGTTGGTAGATGTTGCTATGGCCAAGGGAAATCTCAATCGCGAAGAAGCGCAGCATTTCTGGCAAGGCAAGAAGGATGCGGGCCAATATATCGCGGTATGTACTCTTCAATCCTTACCCGTTTCTTATGTTGAAATTTTATGCGCTATCGATCAACTTCACGATTTAGAATGTGCAAAATGCTGACATTTCCCCCCTATCTAGGAAACGTGGTAAAAATATCACGACGCCATTTATACGAGCACCTACATCCTTAAGCGCCAGTCGTCATATATACCTATTCCACTCCGCAAACTAGCTACTAGATTTTATGTTCTAGTTTCTGAGCATTTCACATCCTCTCGCCACTCAAGCTACATTACCTTTAATTAAAGCAGTCTTCTACCTTACGTCGAATTGAGCATGTTAGCATTTGAGCACGAGCTAGCGACGCAGTTTAAAGTCTTTGGAGATCTCTAACCTTCACAACATCCAACCAACTTCACCTTACCAGCTTCCCAAGCTCCCTAGGCTCTAGTTGGATCCTACCTCTTGCACTCCTCTTTCTTCTCACACTCTCCCCTCCTGGCAAAGAAAATGCCACATTTCCCAAAGCCATGGTTTGTTTGGTTGGGCTTTTGTTTTTGATATAGCTATCCTAGATATTTATATATCTATTGTCTACCTTTACCCTACACGTTAAGTGATGACGATTCCAGGGTTTGGAAACGGAAAAGAACATTTTACGTTTCCTTACAGCATTATTCGCTGCCCGATGTATTCTTCCCCGTTGTATGTTTTTTTTTTTTTTTTTTTTTTTTTTTTTTTTTTTTTGGGTTCCTTCGTTTTGGCTAGTATATATATATTATATTTTCTCTTGTTCATGGGAGGCGGCTATGTTTAGGTTAGTTCTTCGTTCACATATTACTATTGTCTCTTTTTGAATATCTTAGATTTTTAGAGAGACGCCTCTTCTTCAATGATATACAGAGATTTCGGAAGAACCTCATTCCACCTCAGCTCACTTCAACTACGGCTGGGCCCCTTTTTCCGCAACACTTTTTAATTGCCTGATTCGGTTTCTTTTTTGGGTATTGCTTTGGGGCTTCTTGTTTCACTTCAAAAGATCATTGATCTGTTCAATGTATGTGTGGGGGGACTAGAACTGTTGATTATTTCTAAGGTTAAATCTAACACCACCTGACTACCTATTTATTGCTTACTGTTCGTTTGTTTGTTCACCCTCGTTTAGTTTGATTGCATGGCTCATTCTTTCTCACTCAGTGTGTATTTCATGCAATACCACTGATATTTAAAATGGTTAATGAAGCGTGGCTCCCATCCCAAAGGCTTGGATCTGCCGAATCAGTGACCTTATTGATTCCATTCTTTTAATACTCCACTCCGTTTGTTCAAGCTGGAGGCTTTCGTAGTGACGTTCGCGGCGGCTGCGCATGCAGAGGAGTGCCTTTGCTGAGGAGTTGGGGAGAAATTATGCCGTGGTTTACCTGTTATTTGGGTATTGAACCCCATAGAGAAGGAGGAAGCGGGGGGGTGAGGGGCCTCTTTAAATGTATGGGTATAGCTCGAGTTTTGGCGGATGGGCGGGAAAATCTTGGGTGCAAGTTAGGTTGAGGATAAGGACTGTGCGCAAAGAGTAAGGAGTGAAAAGAGAAAAGAGCAACAGGAAAAAATACAATTCGTTTATTCTTCACCTTGTTTCCTTACTTCATGATTATTCTCCGTCCCGTTTGAAACTCGCGAGAAAGGAGCAGCTGAAATGCATGTATGTACTGCACGCGTGTGAATTGTTTGGTTTAATGAGGCCAAACAACCTCCGCAGCACTGGTTTCTCGAAACAACGCTCCCTCACTTCTAAAGTGGTTCTGCTGCATTCTCCGGCATCTCGATTTCTTTCCCCTTGTCGTTCAGAAATATAAGCTCGAATAAACGGGTAATGCAGATGTAGGCGCCTCTAGCAAACCGGATATCGACTATGTGTGTGTATTTCTAACATCTCAAGAGAAACGCTGCATAAAACTAGAGTTTTGAACTTGCCAGTACGGCCAAAGAGCGCTATCAATGCTGATGGGATGTATCCTTTATTCTCAGGGGTATAGTTGTAGCCCAGACAGCTCGCTTGGGTTCAACCTTGACCAAGTTGTCTATGCCTGTCTGCATGACGGGACGGCAGAGGCACAACCAATACAACCCTTCTCTCACTTTGGCCAATGCAATTGCAATACTGGGTGATTGTTATGCGTAGAGGTACTTAGAACATGGCTTCTGATGTTAGGATCCCCTGCTCACTTGCCAGATACCTATCTATCCTAGATTCGCGGTAGGCTAGGGAGTTCGTCCCTGATTTCGCAGAACTCAATCCATAGCAAGGAAAAGAAAGAAACTAGTCGCATGTACTCTGCATGTACTCCTTATCTGTACTCAGCAGTGCGCCGCAATGACATTTGGATGTAGAAAAACCAGCGCAAGAATTGAGTTTTCTTATTTCTTGTCCTAAGTGGTTATTCATAACAGAGTGGGAGGAAAATCATTGTTGCACCTCGTTAAGCTTGGCGTACGCATGGACATAATCGGGGCGTTTGAAATCCGCCAGCTGATTCGTTCCCGGCAATTCGAATCCTTTTCTTTTCTCGGGACCGTTGGTAGCAATGCCTTTCGTTCCAAGTGAGACGGTTGCAGACAATAGTGCATCGTGGGAAGCCCGCATGGACGAGGAGACAATGGGCGCCTTTCCGTGCTGGTGATCGTCTTTGTTGGATGTTGAGGTACGGTACGTACTGCAAGGAGCGGGTTTACCAATTATCTTTCCACTTGCGTCTCCTCTGGGAAACGGCCATATCATATATCAACAATGGGATACGGCCAACCCTGCCCTACTTTTTATGATGCCTTTTTTAACTTTTTGTGGCCCTTCAGTTGTCACTCTTTCCTTTTTCTGAACGGCAAGTAGCCGCCGTTCTGGTGATACATCACCAAACCCTGCAGGACATTTTCAGAGAAAATACCTTACTCCGTACTTTGACAGAGCCAATGGTGTCACAAATCTCGTGCAATATTTTATTTTCCCCCACAACCTTGGGATAAACTTTAAACTGCGGTTGTTGTACAGTACCTATGTGTGCATGGTACAAACAAGCGGCTTGTTCCTTTCTTTCGAGCAAGCCTTTTGTGGCGACCCAGATCCCTAACAGCAAGCTATGGTACAGCCACCTGGTGTTCCAGTCTTGAAAAAGCGGACAAAGTGGTCTCTTTTGCTTTAAAATGTCCGATGGATCTTTATACCGGAGGCTATGATATGTGTTCCCGACGTGAAAGGCGGCTATATAGTTCTTGCTAAAAAGTAACCAGTTATACAGCCAATGCTGGGCTAACAGCCATGGTTGTATAGGTAGAACCCCGAGCCGGTAATGCCAACCCATACAAATTTTGCAACTGACCTTGGGGCCGGACACAGTGTAACCACCCCTTGTTCCCCTTCACCCTGCAGTAACCCATATGAGAAACATCTCCGTTTTACCCTCTAGCAACTCTCTAGGGTAAAAGATCGGGTATCAAAAGTGTCATGCCGAGCTGTGTTGGAAGTGGACTGGGCGACGAGTTTACGTCAGTGCCGAAATTCCCTTTTCACCATTAGCAAAACTACCACAGTTGTAGTAATATAATATGCCTCGCAATTCATGATAACAGGCGGACAAGTCAGAGGATTTCCCATTGAAGCTGCTTCTGCTGGCCCTAGCAATCAGCTAGAACGCGAGGAAGAAACAGGATAGAGGCATTATAACCAAGATGGAATTTATTTCCAGGCTGATCGAATGTTTTAACAGGATAATAATCCACCGTTGAGAAGCCCGTGACAATTAGAGAGCACTCCGCGAAAAGGCTTCACTGTTGTTGGCCATTGAGCAAGGTGTAAGAAATGCCGGAACAGTTGTAATCAACTCCACAGGTCTGTATTAGAGTCATTAATTCTATAAATACTGTACGGCAGCGCGAGTGTAGTGTTGCTGCAGCGCCCAGGGATGTATAGTCTGACGTACTGCGGTGTATGTTCTTATTGGCAGATTCTTCCTCTGTTTGTCACCGCCAGAATGGGCCGAGACAGGTGTAAAGTGGCTGGAGGTGCATACAAGACCGACCGTGTAGGAAGATATTCTATGGCCACAGCGAAACTGGCAGCGCAGAGGGGATGTTGATATCTTCACAGAATATGGTGGCTGTTGTGGTTGTGGACGCGCGATTTTGGGATACTCGAGTTGGCCGCCGTCGTCCATTTCAGGAAGCTCTGGACGTCAACGGTGCACAACCAAGACCAGACCCAAAAGTCGCCTTTCCCTTGTGCATCACATCTCTCTGGGACAATCACCGGCATTTTCTTTTGACACACCCGGTCAGATGTTGTTGCTGGTTGTTTCTGTGCATCCCAAGAATTGACGTGCGCAAGCAATTGGTCAAAGACAGGGCTGGGATTCGGCGCAAGCTGTCATCTGGGGTACACCAATGCTTGTAGCTTCATGCCGCCATCCATAGATATTGCTCGAGCCTCCTATCATGCTCGACCCGCCTAGTTGTGAAAACTCACTGCCTTGAAACGCCGCGCCAAACGAGAAAACAGAGGAAAGGCAGCGGTGGATATACATTCAGGGCACGTTTCCGTGAAAGAAGGAGGCGGAAAAAAGGGGGAAACGTGCACCAGGCAGCACCAACTTGCATATAGTCCATGGCCAGGAACAACCAGAGGCCAGTGATTGCTCTTTACCAGTCTAATGTTTTCATGCCCTGCTGCTCAACGGCCGTACTGGCTGAATCCTCCACGATTGTGTACCTCCACGTTTCTCCTTTTATGTACATGTACCTTCCCCACGGATTTTGTTTAAAGAGAAAACCCTAACGCATGGAACCATTGATCAGCGACTTCAACCTTGGAACTAGACAGACTACCAGAACTCGCAATTCCGAACGAAGCACGGAATCCCTGGCTCACACGCACCGCACAACAATCGGGATAATAATAGATATGATTTCGAGTACCCCCTTGCCCTTGGGTTGGTTACATCTATCACGGACGTCATGGTGATCAGATTAGCAAGCCTGGCACTTGTCAACCCAACCCACGAGACTGCTCATTGGTGCGATTGATAGGTTGCCCCCCAAGTGGCAGATCGTGGGGCGCTGTCTGGTGGCCGGCCGGAAGGATTTATTTGCTCAGTGGGTCTGGGAGTGTGAGGAAAAAAGGAAAGAAATTTATTTCTTAGTATTACAAAATACCAAGAGCGTTACCGGAATGGTGCACAAGATTCCAAGACTTCCTGGAAAAACTAACCCAGATTGAGTTGCGAGGACTTGCTTCAGATTAAGCTCAAAACCGAATCGATAGGCTCAACAGGCCATGAGATATGTACCTTTTTTTGAAGTTGTGAACAAAAACCTGTTCAAAATACGGAGTAGTGATGTGCAATATTTTTTTTTTCTTTTTCCATCTGCTTTTTTGCAGAAAAAATTGATGGATCTGGATTTTGGCAATCCGCAAATCCTGATGACGGGGGCCTCAAGGGTCACTTGCTACGACTTTGGGCTGGGGCAGGTACATGTACAGTACATCCCTGGAGTGAAACTCGGAGGCCCGTCATTCGTTGATGGAACGCCTAGCCTCGCATGCACATCAAACCTTGTGGGTTTGTCATAACAAAAGCACATCTGGATGCAGCCCTGAGCGCCCTCACACTGCACCCAACAAATCCACGGTCCGGGGCTCACGCTATTGCGTAACAGACGTTTCGAGTTTTCAAAACTCGGATCCGAAGAATCAAGGCACAGGAATACGGACATGTTGAAACCAGGGATTGGTTTCTGCTCATGTTTCTCAGCAAATCCGAATTCAACCCATCCATCTTATGCTGTCTATTTAGCTGCCATGCTTAATTCGCATTTTGGGGGTTGAGCAGAAGACCACGAGGAAGATGGGCTACGGTTTATTTTTCCCACGCTATCTCGGTATTCGGCGGGAGGAAGCGCAGCGTTACGTTTTTCAATCTGACCCAAACTTTCCGTGGGAAATGCCATTCTATCTGACCCACTGGGGGCACAACTCCTCCCGTCGTGGCTTTGTTGACTAGCGCGGTTTATCAAAAATTTTAGGAGCATCTGGGTCTCGATTGGAGGCGCTACCTTGCACATCATTCTGCAACCCAGCGCCAAAACCCTGACTCCATCGACTGTCAGGTCAACCTTAAGGATCTTACCCTTGCGGTACCCGATTCGTGTCAATTATATTACCCCTCTCGTCTTGGAAGCTGTTGGAGTTTCTAGCTAATTCCCAGTATAATCGTCGTTTTACTTTTGGCACTCACTCGGATCATCTTATGGGGAGTGTGCGTGGTTGGTTGTTGCAGAGAGATCTCCCATTTGACAGGTACAGTAGTGTTGCCTTCATGTCTGCCGAATGAGAGCCAACTCTCGCACCCATTTTCCCTGCCGGGGTAATCTCAGCAATAGTATTGGGTCTTGGTCTCCATAGCCCACCCTGTTAACTCCACGCCTTCCAAAATAACAATGCTGTGTCAAAAAGCTTCCCGTGATGGTACCAGAGTAGCAACAACTTTCCCCTTCTTGGTTCTCCCTCACCCTCAATTTTTGATCTAGACCCAACCTACTAGAACATTTCCTGTTTTGATCCTGCACACTGCAATTTGAGTGCTGTCCGCATGATTCATAACTCCGAATGGCGGCTGCTTTCCATTTCCTGTCTAACGTCCGACTGGCTAGCACCGAAGGCCATCATTGACGTAACTCATTCCCGTCCAACATAGTTTCCGTTGACTTTAAAAGCTGGAGGATAAGCTGAGTTAGCAACCGTTTAGACATCCGCATGTCCCGCAAGGTGGAATCAGAAGAGGAGTCGAAAAATATGGTTCTATCGTATTCAAGCGAGTTCAGAAACGGCGGACAAACACAAACTCTTCCGCCATTCAGAGATGTATGTGGATAGCACATTCATATTATTCACATTTCGAAAATACTGATATTTGTCTGCTCCAGCTCCTTCCTCAATATCTTCATGAGGAGATAGATTCTACGCCATACTCCGCTCCTACGACACCTCATCACCAAGGGTCACCTTCATTTATTTCATCACCTGTGCACCCTAGATCGATTCTAGGAGCCAGTCTTTCACGCTCACATTCGGCAACTAAAATCGATAGCTATAATGAAATTCCTCTCCGGACTGATAGATTCCCAAAATATCAACCTCACGGAGGAGTTCCGTCTCTCAAACGGCAGGCTTCCGATACCATCGGCCCGTCAACGTCCATTTCAAATTCTTGCTTCAATTCTGGGGGAGCACTTCCTCCCATAAGTGACATTCACTCGATTCCTACGGATAGAAGCCCTTACAATAGAGGACAGGTCGGACTTGAACCCAATAGCCTGCCACCAGAATATCAAAATTCCCCTAGTCAAAACACCCCTTCTTTTGACTCGAGACCTACAAGTTCGCATCTTACGGGATGCCAACCCTTACATGTCATCCCACCAAACCCCATTTTACCGTCCGAGCCTCTGAGACTCAATCACCCATATGAAAGCCCACGATACGGATCCCACCCTCATTCCTTCAGGCATGAGTTTGATTACTCCCCAATTTCCACTAGTAGTCTTCAAGATCGAAGTTTCGTGACTCAAGCCGAACCGTCTGATTCGAAAAACAAAAAGCGAAGAGGGAATCTACCGAAATCAGTAACTGATGTACTTCGAGCTTGGTTCCATGAACATCTTGATCACCCTTATCCTAGCGAGGAGGACAAGCAAATGTTCATTAGTAGAACCGGTTTGACTATTAGCCAGGTAACGCCCATGTGCACTCTATATTCTTATCTCTTTCAGGCAGCCGAGCATAATTTGTAAACTAACTTTTATCACAGATTAGCAACTGGTTCATTAACGCCCGCCGTCGCCAACTGCCGGCACTGCGAAATCAAGTGCGAGCGTCCGAATCAGATAGGAGCGGGCATCGACAATCCCCGTTAAGCGACAATGAGCAAACTTCCTCACCGTCCAGCATGTAATCGCATAATTAATGATATATACGCCATGAACAAAAAGTATACGTTTTTTAATTTAATGGATCGCTTTTTCTACCTCTTTACATTTTCGGCCTTCCCAATTCCCACTTTCATGCAAAAAAGTGTCTCATATGTATATATTTTCTTCCGAGCCAGGATTACCTTGCCTTCCTTCTTTCTATTTCAAAGTTAGTTCCTGTTAAGTCTCGGTGGTTCTCAGGATGCTTTTGTGATCGATAAAATCAGGGAGGAAATATTATTACATTTTACCGGCGTTCAATATTTTTGAAAAAGAAGGCGTCGGTATTAACACGATCCAGTTTCCTCCTTCTAATGTAGTTGTTTTTGAAACATAATAG